AGCCTGCATGTCTAAGCAGATGGCTATTTGCTTGTAAGCTGGTAGAATATTGCACACGGTTTATAGGAATTCTACTCTTTGGTTTATTTACCTAGACGCGATGAAAATCCTGCGTGTCCTGACTTAGTACGAAGTGACTATATTTTGAGAGTAACTTGTTTAGTTTGGTTTTGCAATTCGTACCATGATATTTAAGTTTGGAAATTAGTTTTGTCTGACGGTTTTGACTAAATTTAAATAACCAGTTCATGTCGTCCCTAGAAGTCATAAGTATCTATGTTCTTTCATTAGGAGAGTCATAGTTGCATTATTTTCCTCGTTGTTATTTGAGTTATAAGTATAAGTTGTTATTTGTTATTTGAGGAGGGTTCACTGTGTGCATACTTTGGATATATTTACCTGGTGTTGTCTCTTAGAGTTGTTTCAGATTTCCTGGTTTTTAGCCTTTCTCTAATCGATTAGTATGCTCTAAAAGTTTTTACCTCCAGGTGCCCCTTCTATATCAAGGAATGCGCAGATTGCTACTCTTGTAGTAAGTAAAAATGATTATCTAACAAAGCACAGTTTTCTAAAATTCTGTTTACCATGTCCAGTGAATGTTTATTATATATTTTTTTAAATGAAAAAGAATTGAATCAATCCTTTTTAAAAAAGATGGTTCCTACTCACATTAAGTTGTTTCGGAACAATCCGGATTTCGAGCTCTTTAGCTCATCATCAGATTGAAGGAGTTCTACAACCACGTCTCTCGACATGAATTGCAGAAGTCAACCCGCTGATACCCCCGCCAACGCGACGTTCCAATGAGGAGCTGGGTTTTTAATCGCGCTCAATTTGAACGTGCGAAAAGCGGGAATTATAACACAAATAACAATTGTAATAGTAAATACTGTAAGAAATTAATTGTAAATTAGAGATTAAAGATAAAAAATAAAAAATAAAATAAATAATACTTGGACAAATGTTCTTTTACTCTCGTTTTTATTTTCCTACCGCTTTGACCTATATATTTAATATTACAGTCATTACAATTGAGTTGATAAACCCCGCTTTTTTGTCAAGTTGTCTACCTTGTCTTTAGGTTTTGAAAGGATGTTTTTTAGTGACCCCGTACTTCTATAAGCTATTCTAAAACCTTCTTGTTTAAAAATTTTACTTACTTTTTCCGATAATTCACCAATGTATGGCAAACAACGGAAACCTAATGATTCATTTATGGTGGGGTGGCTGAGTCCTATTGTTAATTCTTTTAAAGTTAATTTTTTTATTCTTTTAACTAGTAACCTATCAATAAATATTTCTAGATACCCGTTGTTTTTTGCTATGGTTTTAATAATATCTAATTCTTTTTTATAGTTAGCAGGAGTTAATGGAAGTTTTAACATACTATGAGCCAAATGAAACCTGCAGCCTTTTGAGACCATGGGTGGGAAGAATCCGCTGGTATCATAGTGTCTGTAGTTGTGGGTTTTCTGTATACATGTATTTCTATTAGGTTGTTTATTATGGACAATTTTAGGTCTAAAAAGTTCAAACAAGCATCTTTGTTAATTTCCAATGTACAACTAATTATTCTATTTATTATTATGTTTTATAATAATTTAATAATATTAAGGTATTATTCTAATTATTTAATTTTTTAAATTTATTTTATTTTTTATTTTTTATCTTTAATCACTAATTTACAATTAATTTATTACAGTATTTACTATTACAATTGTTATTTGTGTTATAATTCCCGCTTTTCGCACGTTCAAATTGAGCGCGATTAAAAACCCAGCTCCTCATTGGAACGTCGCGTTGGCGGGGGTATCAGCGAGTTGACTTCTGCAATTCATGTCGAGAGACGTGGTTGTAGAACTCCTTCAATCTGATGATGAGCTAAAGAGCTCGAAATCCGGATTGTTCCGAAACAACTTAATGTGAGTAGGAACCATCTTTTTTAAAAAGGATTGAACTCCACACTCACCCCATCATTTATAATTTCTACGAATTGAATCATGAAAATTTGATCTGGTGTTTAGTTCTAAACGTCTGTTTATTGGACAACCGGAATTATTTTTATGAATAAACCATCAAGGCGATTCAGACTTAGTCGGTCAAGACTGAAGTTGTAAAGTTGGAACACTGAGTGTTAAAATATTTAGCATGTTTGAAGCGGCACGGCCTACCCACTAATGGAATCGCTTGCTTGGTCGGTAAGCTCTTTGTATCTTACCATCATTCTGATCATAAATATTCTATTAATTGATGATTGTTTTTGTAAATTTACTAGAAAAATATCAAACTGTCCCAATTTTTCATAAACGATTTCTCAGGGATTTGGTGAGCATCGAGACTCTCATGAATAAGCGTAGGATTACATGATTCAATAAGTGGCCATTAACTTCGGTCGATTTGTTCAACAAACCCGCGGACACGGTTTGTTATGACCATGAAATGAGGTTTCAAGAAAATGCGCAAGTTTTATATCAGGGCGTTTCAAAAATCACTGTTCCTCCAAAAACCATAATTAAACCTATAGGAGCCTACAAATAATTAAACATGACTCCCAGACCTTCAACCCTGACATCTATATTAGACACAACACAGCCAGATAGCTCAAGTAGTTAGAAGGTCGTGGGTTCGAATCCCGCTCGTGACACTGACTTTTTCATCTCAACCAAGACCTTAGATTAAAAAAATAATTAATTGAAATCTTCATAAATTCACTAGCTTTCGTGGCCCGCTTGACCAATTAATATCTTTCAATTAACTAAGGTTTTTTTTTGGTTGAGATAAAAAAGTCAGTGTCACGAGCGGTATTCGAACCTACGACCTTCGGCTAGATACGCCGCTACTCTACCTGTTGAGCTATCGTGACTTTTGAGCTTTAAGTCACGATAGCTGAAGAGGTAGAGTAGCAGCGTATCTAGCCGAAGGTCGTGGGTTCGAATCCCGCTCGAGACATTGACTTTTTTATCTCAAATAAAAACCTTAATTAATTGAAAGATGTTAATTGGTCAAGCAGACCACGAAAACTAGTGGATTGTAAGTAAATTTTGTAATTATATAACTTCTTTCTTTATTGATTTATTACAGTTTTGAATGGGGTGATGTAAATTTAATTTTATATGCATGTAATCTATAACATTGTAAGTAAATTTTGTAGTTATATAATTTCTTTCTTTTCTTTCTTTTTTTGAGTATTATTTTTTTAATAATAATTCTTTCTAATAAGTCTCCAAACAAACTGGGTTGCATTAAAGAATAAAAATGAGGATCAAGTGTTATCTTTAATCTTTCATTAATTATTCTTTCAATGTAAGGTCTTGGTTGAGATAAAAAAGTCAGTATCACGATCGGGATTCGAACCCACGACCTTCGGCTAAATACGCCGCTGCTATACCACTTGAGCTATCGTGACTTGAAAAATGGCAAAAAGTAAGGAAAATTTAAGAGTTGAGGTTGAGATAGGAAGTTAGTGTCCGAGTGGATCGAAGTCACGATCGCTCAAGTAGTAGAGCAGCGGCGTAGTGAGCCGAAGGTCGTGGGTTCGAACCCCGCTCGTGACATTAACTTTTTATCTCAACCAATGCCTTACATAAAGATTAATTGAAAAAACTTTATTTCAATAACTAATTGTGTTTTTTAGTCCTGATTCCAGGAGGAGAACACATTTGGATAAAAATTATGAAACCCCCCCAAGGAGGTACAATTCGAAAGGCGGGGTAAGGTAGATTATTTGGAGATTGTGAGGTGCGGTCTAGTGTGACGTAGGTTTTAGAAAAACGTTTTCTGTATCATGCCTCTTATCGTGAAATCCTTCCTCTCGGAGCGATGGTTTAAAGATTTTGCACCTATCACATCGATCAAAGCTGGCGTTCCACAAGGAAGTATCCTAGGCCCAATCCTCTATACCATCTACACTGCTGACATACCCACACATCCAAACACACAAATCACAACCTACGCCGAAGACACCGCAATTTTTTTCAACACACTCCGATCTTATTCTAGCAACAGAAGCACTCCAACAACACCTGAACCTTATTACCAACTGGTGCAATCTGTGGCGGATCAGGTTAAACGAAAAAAAAACGCCGACAAGTTACGTTTACACTCAAACGTCAAACCTGTCCATCAGTGCACATTTACAACAAAATAATACCACCATCGAACCATGTCCGCTACCTTGTGCTTTACTTAGTACACTTGTTGCACTATTTCGGTTTCGTACCCAATTTAAAAAAAAATTTTGATAAATTCATTCAATTTTTTTTAAATTTTCCATCTTTCCAATCAATTTCTTCATCTTTGAAAAAAGTAATTAAAATTTTTTATTGATTCTAAACCACTATTTTCAAACCTAGAGACCAGCAAATTTCAGAAAACATACTCCATTTAATATCCTTTTTAGTGGTGCAATTGTTTTTTAAATTACTTTTTTCAAAAATGAAGAAATTGATGGAGCAAAGGAAAAAACCGTGGCTGATGGATTGGTAAGATGGAAAATTTAAAAAAAATTGAATGAATTTATAAAACGTTTTTTTTTAAATTGGGTACGAAACCGAAATAGTGCAAGTGTTTAATTATTTACCAACACGACTGTAATTTTGATTAAATAATTATTGTATTATTATTTTCCGGAATAAAAGAGTTTTAAGATTCAAAGCGTTTTTAGTTATCTATGTGATACCTTGTTAACACAATGGCTACTTTTTCTAATGAAGAATACGCTGATATACATTTTATGTATGGGTTTTGCGAGTTTTATGCGACGGAAGCGCGTCGAAATACTTCCGACTTAGGTATCACCTCAGGACTTTAGATCAGACCTCGCCTCATCAGCCTCTGATGCAGTGCGATAATATCAAGGAAAAAACTAAGGTTAAATAAAGTATTATTTATTGTATAAATAAATTTTAATTTTAGTAATCATAACAAATATACATTTTCAAAACATAAACTCTGTAACGAAGTTCATTTTATTTTAATTAGTTCATATAAATTTTTAATATTTCTTTTTAAATTTAAAATGAACACAAGGATGATAAAACATTTAAATATTTAATATCAAGGGAGATGTTATATAAAATCGGTAAGACGTGAGGTACACTATAACAAGGATACAATAATATCAACACAGCTGTTTTCGAGGTACTCTTTTGACTATTTTATAAAATTTCCTAGTTTTTCACTTAAACAAGGCTACAAATAGAGAAAGGAACTTTTAAGCTTTGAAATTTAGAAGACTAGGGATCAGGCACGTCGGTTTCTGAACGATGAAGCGGCCAGTATCATGATGATGGTGACCGTAGAGGATGAGGCGATAGTCGCCGACCAGGCCCATGTACTCATCGATAAATGAAAAAATTCATATTCTTCGGGTTTCACGTCGGTCAGTTTGGCGGGTGTTATTTTCCTGGTCGTATCGCAGGCGGATTCGCGGACGTACCTCGACCATGTTCGGTTCACGTTGAAGACGAACTCGCGTCGCCGCATCGACAGACGGACCGGGGTAGCTTTCGAGTCTATATAGCAGAATAAGGGTGTTTTCTTTTTACTACTCGGCCTTATGATATCTTCAGAGGAGACGACCGAACCGACGAGAAGGTTCAAATCGCCCCTTGTGACCTGAGCCCATTCCCACATGTCAGCTATATTGCAGCCGCACACCCACGGGTTGCCGACTAATTTGAGACGTTTCAGTCCCTCGTTGAACCTGAAAGTGTACGGCGTCACGCTCGTCATGTTGTTGAAACTCAAATCCAGCGTTTCCAACGCCGGGAGCGCTTGCAGAAAGTCAAGAGAGGACGTGGAGGTGAATTCCAGCCTGTTTCTCTTCAAATAAAGAGAAGTAATTTTTTTGAAATTTTCGAAAGCGTTGGGAGGTATATAGGAAATATTGCAGTCGCTGAGATCTAGTATCTGTAAGCGGTTTAATTGAGACGGCAAAAAAGAACCGTTTTTAGGTATAGCGATAGGATTTCCGGACAGTCTCAATTCTTTTAAATCCGGATATGAGGACATCTCGTGAAATACAGTCTCATTCAAGCTGGACAATCCGCAGTTGTTCAGTTCCAGAGTTTCCAAATCTGTAAGATTCTGAAACAAACCGGACTCTATCTTTTTCAGAGGGTTTCCAGATAAGATTAAGGTTTTTAATGATGTCATTTTATGAAAAGTCGTTTTGGATATGGAAGCGAGGTTGCTGTAGCCCATGTCGAGATGGACGAGGCTTTTCAAAGGGCTTAAAATCGCCGTGAACACGTCGTTGAGCGGGTTTCTAGAAATGTCCAGCTCTTGGAGATTTGGAAATCTGTGAAACGTGTCCGGAGGGAGTCTAGTGAGAGAGCAATTCCTCAAGGATAGTTTTTGCAATTTGCCCAGTGGAGACAAAGCGACTGCCAGGTCTCCGGCGGAGATTGGGTTGCCGTTTAATATCAGCGTCCGCAGCTTTGTCGCGTTTGCGAAAGCCTTTGCGGACAGAGGTCCGGATATCCTGCAGTCGGATAAATCCAGGAAATCCAAGTGTTTCAAGTTCTGCCCTAGAGTGGTCGCCACGTCGAAATCTCTCAGTTCGTTCTCAGCCATAATTAAACTTCTCAGCCATGAGTTGCGGTCAAACGAGTCGTCGGGGAGATTCGAGATTCGGGAATTTCTCAAATCGAGATATTCGATCTGTGACAACGGTTCAAACACGGCCGGCCAATTTATAGGACTGACGAGCTCGTTTCCTGCCAAGTCGAGCCATTTCAAGTCTTCGAGCTTGACGAAACTCTGCTCCTCTATGCTCTTCAGTTTGCAGTTTTTCAGCCTTAGCTCTCTGAGGTTGGGCAACTGCGAGAACATGCCCGAGGTCAATTTCATGAGAGGGTTTTCAGAAAGATCGAGATTGCTCAGTGAAGGCAGTTCGGAGAAAAATACACTGTTCAATTTGCTTATCCCGCATCGGCTCAGATCCAAATTCAAAATGGATTTGGAGTTCAAGAACGGACCTTCGACCTCATCAAGGGGGTTGTTTTGCAGTTCCAATGTAATCAGTCCCGGATTATCCCTGAAACAAAAATTAAATCTGATAGTAATAATTGAAAGAAAATTTTCAGCAAATATAAGTTTTGAACAAAGTGATAGTTTTAAAATATTTTCTTCTGGTGGCGTTGGTTGTTTTACTGGGACAAATCGATCAGTAGATCAAAAAATGGAGATAAGCCCATCTTATCCATATTGGAAAAACCGCTCAAAATTGGTACGCTTTTATCCACTTTTTTTTTTCCAGAGAGGTCAGAGGTCAGGTTTTTTCAGGTCAGAGGTCATGGTCATATAAACCCTCCGGGTGCCGGTGTTTTTGAAAAAAAAGCCCATTTGTAAGTATATCGTGTTCGAATGCAGGGCCGCTGGATTCGAACCCGGGACCTTTATCATACAGTGATGAGCGCCGGGTCAACGCCTAAACCGTTGCGGCTACCGACGCCCTTTATCCACTATTGTTGGAACAATTTGACTCAAATTTTGTTGTTGATGTTTGAGATAGTTACAGTTAATAAAATTTTAATTACATAAGAATTTGAAGTTTCTAAAAAATTGTCTTTTTTTTCTTCTAAACTGTACATTATTTAAAAATTTCTTCAAATTCTTCAAAAGCTTCATCGTTCATTAAGTCTAAAAATTAATTATCAAAATCGGTTCCTATCAATTTGAGTTTATGCGTGAAAAACGTGATTTTTCAGGTGAGGTATCAAACTGAAAAAGGAGTATTTGCGCTGAAATTACGTACATGTGGTTTTTCAATGGAAGTTTTTGTTTTAGCTAGTGCAACTTCATTTTCGGGTTTTTTCTCCAGATGGATCATGTAAAACGAATTTTCAAAAAGGCAAAAAAATGTTGACCGGAACTCATTATTTTTAATCAAAAAGCGCTAAAGACAAAATAGGAAAGGAAAAAAAGGATATACAGGGTGAATTGCTACTCTACTACTTGATGTGTAGGTATGTTAGCATTGTATATGGTGAAAAGGATTGGCCCTAGGATATTTCCTTGTGGAACGCCAACTGTGCTTGTCGTGTTGGGTTAAAATACGACTACATAACATTTTCTTTATCGTGCCAACGTTTCGATCTTTATTGAGATCATCATCAGAGCTCAAAGTGTTTGTCTTCTGTGTAATTGTGCCATTCTTGGGTGTCTGCACTCTCAATACGACACACAAGAATGGCATAACAAAAACAAACACTTTGAGCCCTGAAGATGATCTCAATGAAGATCGAAACGTTGGCACGATGAAGAAAATGTTTTTCTGAAACCTACATCACACCAGACCGCATCTCACGATTTCTAAATAAATATCGATTAACGGTCACTAAACACCACACATATACAGGGTGAATTGCTACTCGTGCTACAAACTTCTCCAGTAGATTCTTCACCCTAAAATGAACAAAAAAGTTCATATTGTCCATGGTCCGATTNAAAAAAAAAAAAAAAAAAAAAAAAAAAAAAAAAAAACCTATAATTAAACCCGTTTTAGTAGCAAATTAACTTTTTTTAATTTCAAATTATCCTTTTTAAATTAGAATAAATAACAAAGGCATTAAATTTTTTAGATGGTATGAAATTAATAAGAATGTAAAGTAAAATTTCAAAATATTTGTGATTTTTGTAAATATAAAAATAATTGGTCGTTTAGAAGACCACATAAAAATGAATTACAATTAAAGTTAAAAATTATATAAAAATAAATATATAAATAAAAGATATTGCTTTTGATTTGAGAATTAAAAAAATTATAAAATGAGTTCTTATGTAAACTAACACATTAAAATTAAAAGTTATATAAAAGTAAATATAAAAGCAAATAATTCTATATTCTTTTCTCTATAAATTTGCGAATTTTTAAAATATAAAAATTTGTCTATAAAATAATTATTTTCTATTTTACAAAATATCGAATTAATCAAACGATCATTTTTTTTGTTTTTAATATTATAACTTTTCAATTTTAATTGTGATTATTTTCAAATGGTTATCTAAAAGCCTAATTATTTTAGATTAAAAAAAAAGTAGGAAATATACAAATATAAAATGAAATTTAACTTCACATTATTGTATTTCATACCATCTCCAAAGTTTTTTAATGTTTTAAAAAAAGGGTTAATGAGAAATTAAAGAGGGTAAATTGGGAATTAAAAGAGGTTATTTGACGCTGAAAAGGGTTAATCTGAAGTAAAATAATAATTTGAAGCTAATAAGAGCTAATTTGAAATTAAAAAGTGTTAATTTAAAGCTAAAAAAGGGTTCAGTTATAGTTAACAAGAGGTAATTTGAAATTAAACAGAGTTAATCATTTTAACATTTCATTGCCTTACACTTTGTATGCAGGGCGTGATTCGGAATTAGACAGAATTTAATCATTGAGCTTGATTTAGTTACAGTTTTTAGAAATAAACAAATTATAGTCACTTAGCAAGGTTTAGTTCGTAGACTATAGTCAAAAGGTGTGTTTTGAATGTTTGCTTTAATCGTGGTTCAGTTGTTGAATTTTGATATAAAATGCTTGGTGTATTGACTTTAGCCACTATGGTGGTACTTAATACGATAGGCGTGGCTTAAAATTAGAGAACATTTCGTCACTGGGCGTGGCTTAGTTCATCGACTTTTCCCACTATTTTCCCATTAGAGTGCTTTATTTTACTCGTCGTGCTTATTTTGTTGATCATTTTTCTCGCCAAACGTTTTAGTTATGTTTCATCGTGTTTCATTTTACAAACTTTCTCCCGGGAGCCGGTTAATTCGTAGATTTTACGGGGATGGCTTGTTGGTTGATCTTTTTTCACACGCACGGTGTAATTATTAAATTTACTCGAGTGTGTGGTTTAGTTGTGGACTTTATTTGTTAGCATGACATTGTCGACTTTACTCACTGGGGTGACTTCATTTACAGACCTTAGACAAAGGGCGTGGTTTAAGAGTTATTTCCGTGGGCGTGGCTTATTTGACAGAATTTTGTTAAAGGCGTGGTTTAGTTAGTTGATTTGACTTTTCGGGCGTAGCTTTACACATTGAGCGTTGTTAAGCTAGCGTACTTCATTTGCTTTGCATGAAATTGTTTAATTTACTTACAGCGGGGGCTTATTTATAAGACTTCTGCTATGGGGTGTGGTTCAACTCATAGAGTTTTCTCGCTGCGCGCGGCTTATTTGACAGGTTTTGCCCCAGGTGTGGATTTTATTCGTCAGTTGTGGCTTTATTCACTGGGCTTAGTTCAGTTCCAACGTATAATCAAATGGCGTGGTTTAATTCGTAGATTTACTCACCTGGCGTGGCTTTTTTGCCAGAATTTTGTCTTGTATGTGGTAGTTTGATAATCAGTTTCTTAATTTTTACCTGAAATGTAAGGAAGCGAGGCGAATAAAAATCAATAGTCTGAGACCGAAATTAGAACAAATTAATAATTTTTATAAATACATTGCATACATAATCTTTATATAAGGCATTGGTTGAGATAAAAAAGTCACGAGCGGGATTCGAACCCACGACCTTCGGCTAAATACGCCGCTACTCTACCACTTGACTGATCGTGACTTCGATCCACTTGGACACTAACCTCTCATCTCAACCCCACCTTTCGAATCTTCCCTCCTTTTTGCCATTTTCATCTCAACCAATGCCTTATATAAAGATTAATTGTCTAAGCTTTATTTTTTTTGTGGTTTCTGGTGGCCACATATTAAGATTAATTAATTGAAAAACGTTATTCGGTCAATCGGACCACGAACTATAATGAATTACATACATAGTTAAGTGATACTGTCTAAGCATTATTTTTTATGGTTTCTGGTGGCCACATATAGTTACCGCTAGATGCCACTACCGCTTATGGAATGTTCTCGCCCTCCTCTCTGCAGCCAATGAGAGTAGAGCCCTTCCGAATATAAGCAGCGCCACTGCCCCACTGAAATTAGACTCGTCTCCTCAACGAGCTCTTAAAAATCACTAACGGAATAACGTCATCGACATCGACCACGACGACAGCAAGGATACCCGCAGTATTAGCCTGATTCTCGCCTTCTCTACACATCCGACTTGGCTAAAAACGCCAACTGCTGTACTCGGCTAATTGTTGCAACTAGTCCCTTCAGCCACTGCGGAGTCAACCTACTCGTGCCCCCCGGACTTCAGCCAACCGTTTACTAGGTCACAGACCACCACGCACACCTCTCGGCCTCGATCCATCGTCTCGGCGCTACGAAACCACCTTTTCAGGGCCACCTAAACTCCCACTCACTAAATGGTTCATGAAATTTTCTTTATAAAAGGTGAAAAATAGAGTTCAAATGGAAGTACAGAGACCTTTAGATAGTTAACCTTAGCGTAGATAAAAACACAAAAAAAACTAAGGGACACTTTAGTTCGGAGACTATTTATTGTATTTATTGTGAGTTCAGGTAGTATTTTAAGATGTATAAAGAAAAGCCAGGTTCTCATTTTAACCAATGCTTTAAAAGTATACTTCTTAGTCAAAAGTTTTAGATTAAATTTTTTAAAAATTGTTTGCGTAAATTTATGATTTATTTTATGAAGAATAATAATATTGAAGAAAGTTGCACTCAGCCTGTATATATGTAAGAAGAACGTTATGACGTACATCAAATAAATCCTGGAATACTTTGAAAGCCACCCTTTAACACCGGAAACGTTTTAAGGGTGGGACCCTAAAGGGCGATTTCTCAAAAAATTTGATCCACACTCCAGTAACTGCATTTACATAAGTGGGCCGAGTCGGAAGGCGGTTTTCCCCTAACCAATTCTTGCTTCAACTGAGATTACATTGTGTTTATATTGGGCAAGAAATTCCCTTCTTAAGTGTTGTCCGATAGGGCCTCTTCTCTCAAATAACCCCCGGCCGCTGGATCACTTTCTCAAAGTCATAAATCCAATGATAGCCGGCGATTTGCAGAGAGTGTCGACCATATCCTGCAGCTAAACGGATCAACGCTTTAAATGGCCCCTCTCTTTAAATTGATATTCTTATTTATTGTGTTTATTTTATCGTATCCATTTGTAATATTCTTATAGACCGGTTCCTTTTTATATCAACCACAATGGAGTTTTTTAAAATCTTTCTTACCAGGGAGAATATTTGAAATGTTGCTTGTTTGGTATGTATAATAATCGTTAGCCAGTGTTACAAAATTAATCGTTTAATACAGAATAAATTTAAGGTAAGGAAATTATGACAAAAGATCAATTGATTGCACTAAACAGTGATTTAAATAATCATCTTGGGCTTCTTGACTTAAGCTCCAAAGTATAATTATGATTTTAACTTTCGGGCATTTAATCTGTAAGGGGCTCCAGCCTGGGAAAATTTGTATTGTTCGTGGCAGTCGGTTGGGAATTTTCCGCCTGAAAAATCCCACTGTGCTAATCAGAGCGTGTGTAGAGTTGTCACAATCTCAGCCGGCACTTCCGCGAGGCCGGGGCGAAAATCAGCTTTGATTAAAATGTGAGCCGTGGTGGTAAATTGTGCCACTTGGAGTGCATCAGCATATAACCTGGCCCTCCCTTAATTAACCTAAGCTGGGGGCACAGCTGTGGCGACAAGGCGACTCTGCGATATCCAAACCCAAATTAAATCCAGTCCTACGTGCCCCCTATGGGTTTGGTAACATTCCCCGGCGGGGTTTAATAACCCAATCGCAGCTTTTATCTCCCGTTCCAGCACAGATAATCTTGATTTGATTTCTAAAAACAAATTACATCCGGTAAACGTACAATTTATTCTAGCAAAAACGAAACTCCTAGCAAGAAAACATAAACCGTACTGATAGCACCTACAGCATGCATGCAAAGAACCACATGAATAATAACAACCCAAGCTTACTTCTGACAACAATTTTATTAAATTAGAATAATCGGAGAATGATAATTAATACCAAAAACGCACACTTGATTACTGTAGTTCAACCAGCTCATCAGTCTGTTTGAAGTAACCGTAACTTTCGTTCTTATTATACACAGACGAAAATACATTAATTTTGTATGAGTCTATAGTTTAAAATATTCAGGCGGAAGATAGTAGGGATAGGGATAAGAGAGGCGGCCACAAGGCATCACCTCGACCTACATAGAACTATTGTGCTCCTCAGTAAATTATAACTCACTGGCCAGCTTAAGGCTATTAACCAGCCGCCACATCTTTGCCAGAGGTTCCTTGGTGTAGGATCTTGCTTGTAGTTTTTCTTATCTTAGTTGCAAGAACCTGCACCTACATAGACCTTCACAGAAAAATAAAATGTGTTCTGCGTCTCCTCCTTTTCCTGGTAGTGTCTGCACAGTGTTTCTTCTGTCTGTACTCCTGTCCGGTGCATGTGCTTTCTTATGTGGCAGCGCCCCGTCAGGATTTGTCCTTCCCTGTGAGCCCAGGCGAAGTCCGACCATCAACCCTGTTGCCTGGGGGTAACCAATGATGGAGGCATTATCCCTATTACCTTCCTTACTCTTCCTGCCCCTTTCCTTTTCCCTCCCTCTCCCCCCTCTGGTTTGGCAGAGGATTCCTGGGTTACTGAACCCGTACCCATCAGGCAACGAGTGCATCACTAGGGAGTTCGTATAACCTCCCGGGTAGGCGATCATCAAAATCAATCAAAACGTCCGATAAGGCCGAATAGGCCAGGTGCGGACGTTAAAGATCCTCTTGTCTTGTGACGAAGAGTTCTCGGGAACATCATGTCCGAGTGCATCGCATCTCATAGGGTAACATTCCCTATGGTCCTAGACAAGTCCTGCCATCAGCCCGGTGCCTAGGTGTAACCAGTGATGGAGGCAAAATTCCCTATCCTTCCTTATTCTTTCCTCTTTTCTTCCCCTCCTCCCTCTGCTTTGGCAGAAGCTTCCTGGATTATTGAATCCGCACCTCTCAGGCAACGGATGCATCAGTAGGGAGTCCTGGGGGCGATCAGTCCCACCTTAAAAATAATACTGAACCACGGGGGTGGAGTATCTAAGCGGATCCACTAATTGAGGTTGGACTCGTGGCGGTCGTAGTTTGTAAACAAATCGTACCTTAGCTGGAGGGTAGTGGCCAACCAGAGCTGGAGATAGAGTGCCTTCTCTATCTCTCCGGGGGTAGTGAAAGTCATGGTTAAAAGGCTGTGCTGGAAACCACAAAACACATGTACGGATGTGCCCTCTTTAGGGCACCTCTGAACTCGGTTAGTATTGCACTACCTCGCTAGCCAAGGGATGTGACAAGTCCATGCATGTAAATTCTTCCTGGTATTCTTTCGAGAACAGGCGTCTGAGAAGTCCGGACGTTAAAGATCCTCATGGGTCTCAACGCGCATGAGTGAAGATGGGAACATCTGCCCCGTCAGGAGCCCAAACAGAATCCTGGTTGCGGTTGCCTTCCAGTAATTCTTTTGTAAGTTTTGCGATGGTCCTTCTATGAATCTCTTCGCGTGCGTCATACCTGTGGTGTTTTTCCACCGGTTTTTGAACTCATTAAGGATCCATTTTATGATGTATTCTCTTTTGTGGCAGGCTGCTAGGCCGCAGTAGGGTTCTGGGCTCATAGAGTCCATGTTGGCTCTCTTTTTGGCCAACATGTCAACCTTTTCGTTGCCTCTATGCCCTCAATGTCCAGGGACCCATGCCACTGTCATGTCATTAATGTCGCTGACTTCCGTCAGGGCCTCCATGCATTTCCAAACACTCTTTGCCTTCGCCTCGCATGAGGCTAAGGCCCTGAGAGCTGCCTGGCTTTCAGAGAAAATGGCTATCTTCCTGGAATGTATTTCTAGCCTTTTTATTTCTCTGGCACATTGTTCAATTGTTATGATTTCAGACTGGAAAACTGTAGCATAGTAGCGTAGGTTTACCAACAGTTCGATCTTGGGGTTCATCCCAAAGACCCCAGCTTATACCCTTGTCGGTTGTAGGATTAGGGTGGCCATATCCCCTTTTACCCTGCGTCGATGCGCTGGCCCTTGAGGGGTGCCGGCAACATCGACGGTTTCCCAAGAGGCACTACGTAGATGTCCGAGTTGGTCTTGTGCCCCACAGGTAGTAAAAATCGGATATGATGATCAAAGTTCGAAGCCCAGGATTGACTTTGGTCTCTCTCCGTCGGTCATACCAATATAATGCCATTAAACACAATTTCATCTTACTTTCTAATTATTAGTTAAGCGATTGGAGGTTTTAACTTTCTGATTCTTTGAGGTGACGGAAGAAAATTAATTGAAAAGTAAGAATCCAAATGCTTACTGGATTAAATTACCTTTTTGTTTTGTCAAGTATCTTTCTTATCTCATACATCCAGACTACAAAACATTTGGGATTTTTAATTATAGTTTAAAATTATATTAAGGAGACAGAAGGGGTTATGATCATAGAGCGACAAGATCGCAAATACCTGCCATGAAGTTTCTGGGTTCGAATCTCAAGATTTCCTTCGAAATTCTAACCTTTTGTCTTCCGATCTACCCATTGGATAGTGAGTAAAGCCGGGAGAAGGGGATGCTATTTAACTACCAGCCCCTCCCCATTCACTCTAATAAATACACTCACTCATACAAAAAACATATTTTGCCAGCTATATCCAATAAAAAAAAACCCATTCAACTAAAAAGCGGAACCTGAAAATCGCTACCGTGACGGAGGACTATTCTTAAATCCGGCGGCATGCTACACGCTCTCTTTATGGAGCCAAGGCACAACACGCCTCAATTAAGTGGGACACATAGAGTAACCTTTCTCTGCATAAGGGGCACCTGCGCGGGCTCTGGCCCAAAAGCCGGTGCCCGTGTGTCAACCGCGTATGGCCAATCCTCAATCTGGTGAGGACGATCCCTCGTCTCCTGCTCAGGTTCTCTGTGGGCCATCTCCGGTCGCTGCCATCTTTCTTTTATCATGTTTTGCACTCCGTGCTTAGCGTCATATGGCCTGATCTATTAATTTATTTTCCTTAATTATTTCTGCCACTTCCATAAATAAATTTTGTTCCGTTACATTGTAAGTCGTTAAACCATGGAATGGACTACTTTTATCAGTAAAAATCTAATGAATCGCTCGGATGAAAATATTTTTTGACCTTTTACAACATGCACCCTCTAGTATTGACTTCACACCTTTAAACCAACTCTAATTCGACCTATGGTGCATATCCACATGTAAAATTTTTTAAGTCGTAAACCCCCAGGAGTGGAATATTTTTAAATTAAAATTCGAAGATCCCACCAGTTGGCTTTCACAAGGAAAAACATGCGAACATAAGTCGTAAATCGTGTAGTACTTAGTTCAATAAAAAAAAAATCAAAGCCATGAATTGAACAATTATTTGATTAATTAACAATAGATTTCTATGTGCCATGTTCTTATATAAATAAATTTTAGTTTTAATAAATGAAACGTCAAATTTTTGGTTTTATTATAACTTTAACTATGTACGACATATAGGCATAGGTTGGAAGGCAAAAAATATGGTTGGGGTAATACGTAATATTATAATATTACGTTTTCAAAGATTTTTACCTACAATGTATAAAGCTGAATATTATCTCGTTAGTAACGTAGATATTTTGCAGGCTGGGGTAATGTAAAGCAGGTTACGATTGCACATTATGGGATGACATCATTTAATATGTTGCCCTTATCAGGGGAAACCAGTACAATAACTTACATGAATGCGTCTGGATCGATAGTTGTAATTTGGTTTCCAGAGAGGTCCAGGTCCAGCAGGTAGGCCAAACGTTCGAAATCATTCCTCCCGACCGTCGTGAGACTGTTGTCCGCGATGGTGACACTCCTCAGAGTTACGCCTTCCGGAAAGTTGCCAACGGATGTCAAGTTGTTTCCGTTGAGGTTCAATATGTAGACCTTAAGGCTGAGCCCTTCCTCGAGGGTCGGCACGGAATTCAGACCCAAGTCGGAGCAGTCGGTGACCCAGTTGACTCTGAAGTAATGACAGTCGCAGTCTTCCGGACACTCCAGGTCCGGCAGGAGTCCAGAAACGAACGTCCCGAAGAATAAGAACAATAGCCACCTCCCATTTCTGATATGTCCCATCTGATATATCGCTTTATTATCTCATATCTGCAACATAACGTTTGATCATCAGATTACAGTAAGCAAAATTGACGAATATTGGTCAAACCAAGACAAATTAAATATATGCAATGTTTTAACATTTTTATTGGTCAGATTTCTTCAAAATTTATTAACTTTGCAAGTACAAGAAAACTGAAATATACTTAAATGGGCAAACAAATTCATATAAACGTATAAAACATTTTTTTTTCAGTTTCATTAAAATGAGCCGAGAATTTATTTAAAATATAATACACATAAAATAGGGTTTTTCACATATATTTTGCATGTATATCGAAGTTCAATCGATTTGTATTAAATGAGATTAAACAAACAAAAAGTTACAATAATGAAAAGACGATTTGAGTAAGGTAGGTTTAAAAAATTTTAGATACGTTTTAAGCATCCTGAAAAAACAATAAATACGAATTTTCATGATAAATAAAGCCATTTTTCGGCTGGATTAACTGAGGGTTTATTTTTTTTTGTCTTCGATGTCCCGTCCCACTTAAAAATTTATAAGTTTTCTGGGTTTTCCAAATGCAAAAAACCGTTGGAAACATGGACATTCAGCCTATGTCAACTATGTTTAGACGGTATGTCATTCTAAGTGAGAAAAATAAATAAAATCACCTCGTTTTGTTTTATATCTCCGGTTTTAATTTATTTACGAATGACACAGTTATGCTTTAAATGCTTATAACAGTAATAACAATAAACATTTTTACTAAGTATATATATTTATTTGTATGCTCAAACGGAATTGAAAAAAAAAAAACCACCTGCCGGAAGTCAATCAATATTTTGTATTATAAAGACAAAAACAACAAAGATTTTTAAAAAATTAAGTGTATTGATAAAGGTTAAACAATGAAAATATCTTCATATGTATAAAATACATAGGTTATGAAATAAATGCTAGATATTACCAATTTATATATATGTCGAGTACTCTGAGGTAAGTGTGGCATGTCTGGATAATAAAGATCATTTATTAGCGAAAACGGAGTAGGTCCAACCCCACTCCGAGGAATTTCGTGTACTCTTAGATGAATGTATGACGTCTGTATATTAAAAGTGTGTGACGTCTGTATATTAAAAGACATTTATTAGCGAGAATGTAGTAGGTTGAACCCTGCTCCAAGGAATAAGGAGTAATCTGAGGTGAGTGGTGCCGTTCGTATATTAAAAGTCATTTATTATCGGGAATGGAGTAGGGTCAACCCCGCTCCGAGGAATACCAAGTACTCTGAAGTGAGTGTGACGTCTGTACATAAAAAGTCATTTATTAGCGAGAATGGAGGAGGTTCAACCCCGCTCCTAGGAATATTGAAAACTCTGAGGTGAGTGTGTGATGTCTAGATAATAAAAGTAATTTATTAGCGAGAATGGAGAAAGTTCAACCCCGCTCCGAGGAATCTCGAGTTCTCTTAGGTGAATGTATGACGTCTGTATATTAAAAGTGTGTGACGTCTGTATATTAAGAGTCATTTATTAGCGAGAATGTAGTAGGTTCAATCGTGCTCCAAGGAATAACGAGTAATCTGAGGTGAGTGGTGACGTTCGTACATTAAAAGTCATTTATTATCGAGAATGGAGTAGGGTCAACCCCGCTCCGAGGAATACCGAGTACTCTGAAGTGAGTGAGTGACGTCTGTATATAAAAAGTCATTTATTAGCGAGAATGGAGGAGGTTCAACCCCGCTCCTAGGAATATCGAAAACTCTGAGGTGAGTGTGTGTGATGTCTAGATAATAAAAGTCATTTATTAGCGAGAATGGAAGAGGTTCAACCCCGCTCCGAGGAATATCGAGTACTCTGAGGTGAATGTGTGAATTCTGCATATTAAAAGTCATTTATTAGCGAAAACGGAGTAGGTTCAACCCCGCTCCGACAAAATCTCGAGAACTCTGAGGTGAGTGTGTGAAGTGTGTATATTAAATGTAATTTATTAGCGAGAATGGAGTGGGTTTAACGCCGCTCCGAGAAATCTCGTGTACTCTTAGGTGAGTGTGTGACGTTTGTATATAAAATCATGTATTAGCGAGTATGGAGGAGGTTCAACCCCGCTCCGAGAAATCTGGAGTACTCTTAGGTGAATGTGTGGCGTCTGTATATTAAAAGTCATTTATTAGCGAGAATGGAGTGGGTTCAACCCCGCTCCGAGTAATCTGGAGTACTCTTAGGTGAATGTGTGGCGTCTGTATAATAAAGTCATTTATTAGCGAAAATGGAATAGGTTCAACCCCGCTCCGAGGAATGTCGAGTACTCTGAAGTGAGTGTGTGACGTCTGTATATTAAAAGTCATTTGTTTGCGAGAATGGAGTAGGTTCAACTCCGCTCCGTGAAATCTCGAGTACTTTTAAGTGAGTGTGTAATATCTGTATATTAAAAATCATTTGTTAGCGAGAATGGAGTAGGCTCAACCCCCGCTCCGAGGAATATGGAGTACCAGTGGAGAAAATGTGACCAAACTTTTATGTTTGATATATATATATATATGTTCTCTATGTTTTATTCTGTAGTTGATAACCTAAGGTACAAATCAGAGGCTTGTATTTTAGGATCAACTTAGGTTTCATGTACAAGAAGAAATTAAGTAATAGATCACCTCAAACGGCTGCACGTTGAAAAATATGCGTGAAAGACCAGAAAAAAGGAAAAACACACAGAAAAACGTAAGCTATTAATGTGTCGGCCCCTTTTATTGTTATTATTATTTAACGCTAAGCATGTATACCCCATTTAAGAAAAATCTGTCCGTGAAAGAAGGAACCCCATGTTAAATAAAGAATTTTTACTTCTCAGCTATCAAAGTTGCAGTTGAAATGCAGACTTGTTTTATTAGCATAATAATAAAAAAAAATAATTGCAAAATAGTAATTTTAACTTGGTTCCTCAGGCTAGCAATTTTGTTAATAAAGGGTTTAATGATTATTCTTGTTAGTTTTAAGAAACTTAAATGGTAATTCGCTTCCTCAGTTCAGAACAATTTGACTTTCTTTATACAATGTAATTTTCTCTGTGTTCCTGCCCTGTCTCAAAAAGAAATCCATGAATAAAAAGCAAGAGAGTTTCCTTTAGTGACAGGTCCATTTAGATTTACAAAACATGGTGATAGGAGACGAAACTCCGGGAAGCACGGTAACCTCATTCCCTGAAAATTACTTTATTATCCAAGTGGATCCTGTTGAGTATTAGGGAGGTAGTTGACAGGAGGTCGTGCTCCAAAGAGGACCTAAGGGAAGGCCTTCTTATTTTCTCCTTATCGTGTTATTGTAGCAATGTCCCGACGGGATACCAAGTTGGGATTACTTTATTAGGTAAGGGGCTTTCGGAAAAAAAGCAAAAAAAAGCACCGCCATAGAATATCTGTTTATAAATTTCTTTTCAATTTCCGAAGGCGGCTTGTTACGATGGAGTTAATTAAAAAGTGTAATGAAGAGCCGATTGGAAACTTTGGTTATCAAGAGCTTCCTACCGAAGAGTTCACACTAGGGGGTAACGGGAAAACTGTAATTGGATTTTCAGAATTCTTAACTAGTACGCGATATTAACGTCGGACTTCATATCATAAAAAAAGTTCAAAAAAAATCTTCACAAAATTTCTGATCTTGATTAAAATTGAATCTCAGCTGCAAGATAACCCTTAAAAACCATTAACTTGCAGGTATATTCTATGCCTACAAATAAAACAAATTATTTATAATTAAATAAATTATACAAATTTTATATATTTACACACAAAATATTAATATCTTCTTTCCTTGGAATTAACCTGTCTGTGGCTTATTTCAAACCCTTGGACATCTTGGCCCATTAGCTGAGTTGGTTAGAGCGTCGTGCTAATAACGCGAAGGTCGCGGGTTCGATCCCCTCATGGGCCAAATATTTTATTTTTTCATTATATAAGTTTTTATATGTAATTTTAATAATTTGATAAACTAGAAAGATCAGGATCCAAAATGTGTGAGATAAGATCATGGGAATATATTAATTAACAAACTTATAAATATTTCTGTGGAATAATTTTTTTAAAAATTTACAATCCTTTTACACAGATATAATAATTTTATTTTCAATTTTGCGATCATTAAAATACCGATTCATTTTGCATGTAACAATAAGTAAAATTTGGAAACTGAAAAAAAAAGTTTGAAAAATTAATTGTTAATATACAATTAAGAAAAAACCTGATGACAAATTTCATAAAATTAAAAGAAAAAAACAACGTATTAATTAATATGTTTATTATTATTTCAGAGGAATATTTTTTAATTTCTACAAAACTTTTACAAAGATGTAATAATTTTATTTTTAAAAGTAGTTGATATGAAAAAATACCAATTTTGCAACTAACAATAAGTTAAATTTTGAAACTGAAAAAAGTTAAAAAGTAAATTATTAATATACAATTAAGAAAGAACCGATGACAAATTTCATATAATCAAAAAAGAAGGCAATGCATTAATTAATATACTTATGAATATTTCAGAGGAATATTTTTTTAATTTCTACAAAACTTTTACAAAGATGTAATAATTTTATTTTGAAACTGAAAAAAAAGTTTAAAAAAGTTAATTATTAATATACAATTACATATAATACAATAATTTTATTTTCAAATTTTGCGATAATTAAAATATTTGATATGAAATAATAACGATTCGTTTTGCTACCAACAGTAAGAAAAATTTTGAAACTGAAAAATACGTTAAAAAAATAATCATTAATATTCAATTAAGAAAGAACCTGATGACAAATGTCAGGAAATTAAAAAATATACAATGTATTAATGAATATAATTATTAATATTTCAGAGTAATAATTTTTTTAAATTTAACAAGATGTTTACACAGTTCTAATAATTTTATTTTCAATTTTGCGATAATTAACATAGTTAATATGAAAACATTCCCATACATTTTGCAACTAACAATAATTAAAATTTGAAACTGAAAAATACGTTAAAAATTAATCGTTAAGAAAGAACCTGATGACAAATTTCAGGTAGATAAAAGAAAAAATATACAATATATCGATTAATGTAATTAAGAATATTTTAGAGGAATATTTTTTTTTAATTTTAAAAGACTTTTACATAGATATACTAATTTTATTTTCAAATTTTGCGATAATTAAAATAGTTTATATGAAAAATACCGATACATTTTGCAGCTAACAATAAGTAAAATTTTGAAATTGAAAAATACTTTAAAAAAATTAATTATTAATATTCAATTAAGAAAGAACCTGATGAAAAATGTCAGATAATTAAAAGAAAAATATGCAATATATTAATCAATATAATTATTAATATTTCAGAGTAATATTTTTTTCAATTTTACGAGACTTTTACACAGGTCTAATAATTTTATTTTCAAATTTGCGATAATTAAAATAGTTAATATGAAAAAAGTCCCGATACAATTTCCAACTAACAATAAATAAAATTTTGAAACTGAAAAATACGTTAAAAAATCATTAATATAAAATTAAGAAAACATCTGAGGACAAATGGCAGGTAATTAAAAGAAAAAGACAATGTATTAATTAATATTTCGGAGGAATAATTTTTATTTTTATTTAATTTTACAAAATGTTTATATTATTTGTTGTAGACAGATTAAAAAAATTATTTTCAAATTTGCGATAATTAAAATAGTTAATTTGAAAAATACCGATACATTTTGCAACTAACAATAAGTAAAATTTTGAAACTGAAAAAAAAATTCAAAAAATTATTTTCTACTAAACAGATAAGAAAGAATATGATGATATGATAAATATGATGATATGATGTTTGATATGAAAAATACCGATACGTTTTGAAACAAACAATAAGTAAAATTTCGAAACTGAAAAATACGTTGAAAAAATTAATTATTAAGATACAATTAAATAAGAATCTTATGACGAATTTCAGAAAATTACAATTAAAAATACAATATACTAATTAATATAATTATTAATATGTCGGTGGCATAATCTTTTTTAAATTTGACAATACTTTTACTCAGATATAATAATTTTATTTTCATTTTTGCGATATTTAAAATAGTTGATATGAAAAAATACCGATACATTTTGCAACTTAACAATAAGTAAAAGTTTGAAACTGAAAAAAAGTTTAGACAAATTAAATTATTAATATACAATTAAGAAAGAACCGATGACAAATTTCATATAATTAACAGTAAAAGGCTATGTATTATTTAATATATTTATGAATATTTCAGAGGAATATTTTTTTTAATTTCTACAAAACTTTTACAAAGATGTAATAATTTTATTTTTATATATTAAGTAAAATTTTGAAACTGAAAAAAAAAGTTTTAAAAAGTTAATTATTAATATACAATTAAGAAAGAACCGATGACAAATTTCAGGAAATTAAAAGAAAAAGTATAACAAATAATTAAATAAAAATCGACTATGGATTGTACATAACCAAAAGTGTTTTTTTACTCTGACAAAATAAAGTATCTGTTGGTTCTTAATTGAACGAGGATTCATATTCATAAGCAGCGATTATTAAACTATCTATTCATATTGATATGCTTAAAAAACTTTAAAACCGTTTTCCAGTAATGTAATATTTATAGAATGTTTAAAAATTGAAATTTTTAGGAATATATGGTGCACCTGTTTCAATTAAAACTAAAAAAATGCATTTTTCTGAATTTCAAAATTCCTTTTACAAAGGATGCTACGAATGTAGGATCAGCTACATCAATAATAATTTTTTGGAGGTACTATGTCGAAAAATTTGAGACAACGTGTCCGAACGTTCTTGCTATTAGGTTCTAGAAGTCAAGAAACTTTTTATAAAATAGAGTTTTACATTTGTAATCATTTAATTGAAAATGGATATTTTTTCTAATTTAAAATGTTTTTTTGTTTTTTTTTTCAAGAAGATGGTACAGACGTGGGTAATTTATTTCAGTGATTTTTGTGGTATTGTGTTGAAAAATAATAGATATAAAATAAAAATGAAAAATATGTACATCTGTCAGAACGTGCTTGCCATTGGACTCAAGGTTCCTAGAATTTTTGTTTTAAATTAAAAATATTGATTATACATTTTAAGCATCGAAAAAAAATCCACCAAAATATTTCTTTTAAATCGGTGTGTTCCAAACCTTCATTGCCTCACGTTGTTACTTACCATGAAAATGACCGAAATTATAAATTCATATACGTATATGAATTTATATTTGAGGTGGCTATGCAAGATTAATTTTAATTGGAAAACGAAACTTTGCTTTGTAAGTATACATATTGTTACTTTTTTCCTTTATACCTAACAAAGAACCTACTTCACTGTTTGTCAAGTATACAAATAAAAAATAAATCCCCCTTGGATTTGATAATACCGTTTGACATCCGCTTTAATTACACTTGATAAGACAGAAGGAATCTCTAATTACCCGTTAACACCTTGAGACCAAAGGGTTGATGTGTGATGCGTTCAAATTTTAATTAATTTTCGTGGCAGTGCATGCGTACCCCAGCTGAGAAGGAAGTGACGCGTCGCGCCATTATTCAATCTTTCCGTCTAATTTAAATCCCTCTTGGCCAATATGAGGTAAGTATTCCTTTCCTTGGAAAATTTCTGGATCAGCTTGGATTTTTTGTTGAATTGTTTTTCGATTATAATAGTGTGGACTACCTGCTTGAAAATATACGTTTTTCAGGCTTTTCCTATACTTATATTTAATCAATTTTTTTTTGTAATAAACAACAAAATTTATTATAATTTTTTTTATATAGCCTGCTGTTATTATCTTTTTTTTTAAACTACAGTTTGAAATACAGCATTTATCATCATGCTGATAATGCTGGTTTGTTTACAAGATTTAAAAGATTTTCTGATAAGAGGAAATATTTTGGGTTAACGACTTCAAGACAAACTACATTTTATTTCAACCATTTCCAAAACGTGTAATGGTATTGTTTCGTTTTTATAGTGACATAGCTTTTTTACATTTACATTACCCATAAAAATATTGTGTATATTTTTTTAAGTTAAAATTTTTCCGTTTTGTCTGAGATATGACTTGTAGTTTTTTTGTTACGCCCTATATTCGAATATTCTAAATGAAAGAATCGCACTGAAAGAATGAAGTTATTTGTAGTAACACAATTTGGGTGAGTGAAAAATATCAAAATATAACCAATTTAAATAAAAAAGTAAAACATCCTCGACAAGAATTTAACAAAAATTAACAATTATAAATAATAAATTAAATTTTTGTAGGTCTTAGCATTTTAAGGTTTGTTTGTTTTAAAATAAAAAATAATGATTTTGCCACGTTTCGTTATGATTAACAATAATTAACAGCAAGGACGATGGAGCAATATCGAGTACTTCACGGACCAATGTGCTTAGGTGTGAATGTATTTATTTGTGCGACTGTATCGTAGAAGTTAGTTAGTTTTAAGCTAGCTAGGGTGCGTTGGGGCTGAAATAACCTAGCTGTCGAGAAACGATGACCACCTGGGCATCTGTTTAACCCATCTATTCATGCCAATATAAATTATATTTTTCGTTTCACTGTTGATTTTATGGAAAGAACATTGAGAAATATTAAACAAGTGCCTGAAGTGTGTATTGAAAACAGAAGTGGGCCAAGGATACTTCTCGAACACTCTGGGTAGGTTAAGGTCACAGTGATCATTGTAACAGTCCTCGGAATTGTTGGAGCCGGGGTCTTCAGGGAGATTTGAGATCGCCTGTAAAAAAATTTAAATATGTCAATCTGTAGACATTTAAGATTGTTTTGCCCTGATGATGACCTTTAAATGGGTCGAAAGCTTGGCAGTAACAACTGAATTTGCTTTTTTCTTCAAGACTTCAAGACTCTTCTACAGAGTGTTCATGAGTGAAAAAATGGTCGATATTTCTAGCACTGAAATAATACTTCTCTGAAAAACACTGATGTAGGAAAAGTAGGGTTAATTCACTCCCAACACTGAAGATGGCGACAAGTCGAAACTTATGTGACAGACCGAAACATCGAGGCTAGGCAAACCAAAATGTCCAGAAACGATCCAAGCAACAGACCTATGGCTCTGCAAGTGCCAGAAAGAAATTTACCAATTTTTTAAATACCTAACGATAAAACATAAAAATACGTCCTAATGAACACAATTCAAAGAACATACAAATAATCCTAGTTGACGTTGATCGACCTACGTAGTTTAAACTGATGTTGTATTGGATCTTCTTGAGGTCATTACAGGTGAATAAAGAACATCACTATTGTGTTTCACCAAGCTTTCCATAGAACTGTTTATGGAAACGTTGGAATTTACAGCAATGAATGGATACTTTAAGTTCGAGGATGAGATTTACAAACAAAAGGATGGGGTAGCCATGGGTGGAGTGTTGTCTCCTGTCCTGGCCGACCTGGTTATGGCCGACCTTTTGGAGTGGGTTCTGTTACAATTGCCGTTTGAAATTAAATTATTATTAAAATATGTTGATTACTTTTTAAGCATTATACCAAGAGGTTATGTTCAAGAAATGCTTAGACTGTTAAACTCCTACCATGGCGCCCTAAAGTTTACAGTGGAGGAGAAAAACAATGGTAAACTTCCATACTTGGATTTGGTCATTGAAAGAAATGATTACAGATTAGAGACCAATTGGTACAGAAAGCCCACTAGCAATGATAGGTTCCTGGATTTCAACTCTTCCCATTCTTTCTCTCTAAAGGTGAACTGTGCCAGAAATTTGATAAACCGAGCCTTGGGCTTGAGCGACACAAAATATCTGGAATAAAATGTAGCCAAGGTCCAAAAAATGCTAAAAACAAACCACTACCCGTTGGCACTGGCAAGTAGGCTCATAAATGAATTTAAAGAAAAATATGGTCAGAGTACTGCTCTAATGGATAACATTACCCCCAATGTCATGATGGAGGAAAGCGATAAACCAATTTCATTTAGATCAATCACATATGTTCCTAATGTATCCCCGAAAATCAACAAATTGTTTAAAGATAAGATGGGGGAGGGACCGCGGTAGCCGAGTGGTTAGCATGAGAGACTCTCACGCCGCGGTCGTGGGTTCGATTCCCACCGTCGCCTCTGGCCCTTTTTTCCCGATAACACCCAGTTTGAACACACAAGAATTTGTACCATGGCTAATATGCAAGATCATGAGGCAAAAAAAAATAAGATGGGGAAACTTGGTATCACGTATAAATTTAACAATAACCTTAGATGTTTGCATTCAAACCTAAAGGCGAAGGAACCAATAAGATCACAGTCCAATGTGATTTACAAGGTGTCATGTGCGGGTTGCCATATCCAGTATGTTGGGCAAACAAAACAAAAAGTAGAAATAAGAATGAACTAACATAGACTGGATTGTATAAATAGTAAGAAAACCACGGGATTGGCAACACATGCGACGGAAAGTGGTCATTTCTTCAAGTTGGACTCCCCTGAGATCCTGGGCAGAGAGATGAACTTGGAAAAACGACTACTTTTGTTCATGTTACGAAAAACACTTGTAATTTACAAATGGATCGACTGGGCTCCATCATGGCATATTCGGGAATCCTACAACTGTTCATGAATCGAAATAAAGCGCAAAGTGACGTTGTTGTGTCCAATCATACCGGGATTGATAACAGGGATAGGTCCCTTACCATGTTATAACCGTCCGAGGTGTGTTCTCAATTTTCTTCAAATCCTTGTACATAGTCTTATATAGTTAAATTATAATTTTAAGTTAAATAACAGTTAAAAAAGTTGTATATAAATAACGTATCTATGATAGAGAAATACATGTACCTGAGATTTAGGGTTAACTTATGAAAAAGTGAAACCAAAGGATGACCGATGAGGGTCACTAGCCTTTAAGCAAGACGGTTTTTTTTTTAGTATATAGATTCATTTTTCACCTTCACTTCAAAAAAACAACAAACATGTGAAATAAATTGAATTTTCCTAACAACTGGGTTAAGTACGTATTTGTATTTTTGTAATGTATTTATATAAAATGTGTTATGTAACTCTGTTCATGTAAATTTTTTTAAATAATAAATTAGGCCCTGATGATGGCGGAACATTCGCCGAAAGCTTGGTGAAACCCAATAGTGATGTTCTTTATTCACCTGTAATGACCTCAAGATGATCCAATACAAATAATCCTTAGAAATCAAAAGGTGATCAATTCTATTATGAGATATCGTGTTTTTTTCATTCAGTTCAATTTAAACGTAAAACGTAGATAGTACAAACACAATTCATCCACTGTAGATGGCAATAAGTCGAAACTAATTTGGTAGACAGCATGCCTGCGTGCATAGGCAGACCAAAATTAGCAGGAACGATCTTAGCTATAAGTCCATCGTTCTGCAGACTTGAAGGTCGATTAGTCGATCTTATGGAAAGGAAATTAAGAAGGATTAATCAAGTGTACTACATCTGAAGCATCAAGTGAGTTGATACAAACTCATCACTGAAGACGGCGAGTAGTAGAACCTCATGTGACAGACCAATGGACCGAGAGATAGGCAGATAAAAATGACAAGAAACGACCCTAGCTAAGGCCCATCTTCAGACCTCAGAAAGAAATTTCACAATTTATTTAAATTACCAGACAAGAAAGCATAAACACTATTGATGAACACAAGTCAAGATAAGAATATGTAAACAATATTTACAAATGAAAAGGTATTAAATTTTAGGATGAGGTCAGGAAACCATACAGAAATGAGAGGAATCAGATAAGCTAATATAAAAATTACTGTCAATGCGGATGCGGATTCAACCCCCCGAGGCGACTGGCTGGGATACGGCCGACTAATCCGGCTTTTGAACGGCCACGTCGCCTCACCCACCCTGGGAGTCATGGCCCACTCTATGTGGAACCACGGCGACNAGGTGCGGACGTTAAAGATCCTCTTGTCTTGTTGACGATGAGTAAATCGGGAAGCATACTGTCCAGGTATATTGTTGTAATTTTATGTCATGGCTCAAATTCTGCTGGTTAGGATTGGGTAGGTATTTTAAACCTGGATCCTAGTGGCTTTTTCCTAAAATTTGGACTCGTTGGAGTGTACTGCTTAATTGTCATTATGTGTAAAATGTCATTCAGAAGTGTCCAAATTCAGTGAGTTTCGCTGAGGGTTTTATGAAGTTCACTAGCGATATCGTTTTCGACATTTGTTGTTTGTTCTTAATACAAGTTTTTATATTTTATATAGTTTATTTATTTTAGGAAACATTATGTAGTTACTTGCCATTTGAAAAACGATCAATATTTTATCCAAGCACTAATCTTTTTATGTAAGGCTTTGGTCGAAATGAAAAAGTTAGTGTCATGAGCGGGATTCGAACCAACGACCTTCGGCTCATCAGCTGCTCTAACTACTTGAGCTATCGTCACTTCGATCCACTTGGACACCAACTCCCCATCTCAACCTACAACCTTTCGAATTTTCTCTCCTTTTTGACTTTTTCTATTGTGTCCGAGTTGAACGAAGCCACGATAGCTCAATTAGTTAGAGCAACGGCGCATTGAGACGAAGGTCGTGGGTTCGAATCCCGCTCGTGACACTAACTTTTTCATTCGACCAAAACCTTACGTAAAAAGATTAATTGATTGAAAGACGTAATTTGGTCAGTAGACCACTAAATATAATTGATTTTATCCAACGTTTTAATGTGAAAACGTTTATTTTGATATATCACCCATAGTCAGATTTGGCAATTTATCAAATTGAAACAGAAAATCTGTTTGTTTACAAGATTAAGAAACGACCCTGATGACAGCAAATATATAAAACCTCCGAAGATAAGCGCCTTAATCGAATGATCCTTTAATAAATCCAATGACTCATAGTAAAAGTATCTTTCGGCGAAAACATTAAGACAGACGTTCATTTATGTGTACTCTACACGCGTCGAGGGCTGACTTGATATTGTTATGTAAAGCAGATGCCTCGCATACTTGCATTTCCCTGTTCCCCAACTATAGCGCATACCTCCTTCATTAATTAAAATAGTTTGTTATGTCTTCATAAACGAAGAAGCCGCCTGTAATCGCTCGACTTTATTACATGACAGTTTCTTCGTGCCCTATCACTTGAGTCAACTCGGCGTGATGAAAGCCCATAGAAACAACAAGGACAGTTTGAATAGAACTTCGTTTTTAAACGGGTTTAATGTTTCCTTTATAAAAAAAAGTGGAAATATTAATGAACATAAAATATAACAGAATCCATTTATTTAGTGGTCTGAGTGACCAAATTATTTCTTTCAATTAATTATTCTTTTTATGTAAGGTCTCGGTTAAAATGAATTAGTGTCACGAGCGGGATTCGAACCCACGACCTTTGGCTTGAATAGTGGCAAAAAAGAGGTCGCCCTTTTCTCAATCCGGGTTCCTTCATTCTATCCTGTGAAACCTCCCAACCCTTGGTTGCAAGGGGGGTATCCGGGCACAAAATAAAGGTGTAGCCCAGAGGGCGTGGCAACCTCTCTAAAACACAAGCTGTATTCGTGTCGGCCTAGGGTCGGCATGGGCGGCGGGTGCCTTAGCAGAGCCACACGAGGGCCAGTACACCAGATCCTGTCTGCATAGACGGAGGAGGGGGTATGGCTATCTGTACCACGGGGTAACTAAACAATTCCAAATTCAGCCCTAGTTGCGCTGGGAATGGATTTGTGGTGGTACGTGGTGACGCCCCTGGCGGGAACTTAGACAGAGGCTGTCTTCTATTTGTGATCTTCGTGAAGCTTGCGTAGGGCCAGCGTTATTACCCCCGGCCGAACGGGAGGCGGTGGACCGGACGACAGCGTATAGGAGTTGAGGACGCGATGATTATGCTGAATAGTCCCTCGAATACGTGAGTAAGCGAACGGAAACGGGTAGTGAATCGGTTTCTCTGACTCGAGTATGCTTTGCATTGTTGTGCGTACAACCGGCGTGGTAGCCTTGGGGAAGCGAAGGATCGGACCACCTAAGCTGAGCCTATGGCGTCCCCCGAGTGCTCATGGAAGGTGTAGGCTGAGCTCGACAGGAGGTTTTTACAGTAGGCGGTGCTCATCTAGGGTGTGGTTAGCAATTCCACTTAAAACAAAACCGCTGCCGGGGCGGATCCGATAGTTTCTGCGCTATGGGGGGAAGCCCCAATACTCTGGGAGATAGAGTCGCTTCTCTATCTAGGAAGTGCGCGGGAGAACAGGCTGATGTATTTTGGCTTGTTAGCCCTTTGCGCGCGGCATACGACCCGATGCGCAATGCGGGCCCAACCATTCGGAATGGACAAGCGGAGAGCGAGGTTGTCTTGGCCCTTAGGGGCTGGGGCGCCTCTACACCAATGCTGCGGCGGTAACACCATTCCGTCGTATGCGGAGGTGCGTCAGCTCTCATCTCGAGAATCAAAACGTCCGATAAGGCCGAATAGGCCAGGTCCGGACGTTAAAGATCCTCTTGTCTTGTGACGAAGAGTTCTCGGGAACCTCATGTCCGAGTGGATCGAGGTCCCGATAGCTGGTTAGAGCAGCGGCTTATTCATCCGAAGGTCGTGGGCTCAAATCCTGCTCGTGCCACTAACTTTTCGTTTCGACCAAGACCTTACATAAAATGATTAATTAATTTAATGATATAACAGAATATTTCGAAAAACCTTAAATTTGTAGGATTGATTTTATATAATAGTCTTATTTATAAAAGAGCAAATAAGTTCTATCACAATTTTGAAGAATGAATATTCTTCAAAGAAAAGAAAAAAAAGAAGTCACTTGTTCACCTATTTCAACGAATCATTTTTTTGTGCTACTAGGTTCAAAAATATTAGGTAAGTGTTAAGAGCGTTTGTGCAAGTAGGCTCTAATAGCCGAGAATTAAAAAAAAAGAATTATTTGGGTCCCATACTTATTAGTACATATTAAAAATGTGATCACAGTTTTTTACACGGTCAAAGCACTACACTATGCCAGTTCTGCTCCCAGAATACATATGCCATTAGAAATGTTGGCACTCAGAGTGAGGGTTTAAGGGGCAAGGAGGTCTAGAGGTCATTGTCGATTAAAGCGACGTGATATCGAGATTGTAATGACTGCAGAGAGCTCGAGCAGTGGAATAGATCGAGTGGTTGGACTGCCTTTTGAAATCTGGAACGGATCAGTTCGTTCACAAAATGAAGGCGTTGAGTGTAGTGACGTAGTAAGGAGTTTTGACGATTGGTTTGGGGACTTTTAACTGGAAGGTTTGACGCTGAATATTGGATAGGCAAAACCCCACAGTTTAATTCGTATGTCCAAATTGACTCAAGTTGTTGCCTCGTAAGTCTTGTGTGGGGATTCGATGTCTGCAAACTTGAAGGGCGACGTCTGATAAAAAATGGTTGGATATAAGTCAAACGTGAAATACGACTGAAGGTTATATTGGAAAATGGAGTGGGCCAAGGCTGTTTCTCAGAGGTACACCCATCTTGTTGCATAAGATGAAAAATTGCCAGTTCCCTAATGTACGAACGTGAAATGTGAATAGGGTTGATACAATCCCATCACTGAAGATACTTTTATCTAAAGTGTTGGTTGAGATGGAAAAGTTAGTAAAAGAAAAAGTTATGTATTTGCCGAAGGACGTGGGTTCGAATCCCGCTCGTGACACTAACTTTTTCATCTTAAACTAGCCTTTAGATAAAAAGGTAGGATTTAGTAAAAATCTGATCATGCCAACATAAATTAATTTTTTTGTTTTAGTGTTGATATCAGGAAACGAACATTAAGAAGGATTATTCAAGTGTAATACGACTGAAACTTATATTGGAAAAAGATGTGGGCCCAGGAAGTTTCCCTGAGGAACAATCACCTATATGCAAAAGGTGAAAAATGTAATTTCTCTGGAGTATGAAATGAAATGTAAATTTAGTTGATACAATCCCATTACTGAAGATGGCAATAAGTAAAAACTTATTTGATAGAGCAAAACAAAAGGTCGACTTCTGATAAAAAATTGTTTGGATTTAATCCTTATACGTTGACCCGTCATAATTGACCTATCTAGTTATTTAAATTAATTATTCTTTTTATCTAAAGTCTTGGTTGAGATGAAAAAGTTAGTTAGTAAAAGAAAAAGTTATGTATTTGCCGAACGCCGTGGGTTCGAATCCCGCTCGTGACACTAACTTTTCCATCTTAAACTAGCCTTTAGATAAAAAGTTAGGATTTAGTTAAAATCTGATCTTGCCAACATAAATTACATTTTTCGTTGATATAATTAATCGAACATTAAGATTATTCTAGTGTAATGCAACTGAAACTTATATTGACAAAAGTAGTGTGCCAAGAATGTTTCTCTGAGGAACACCCGTCTTGATGCATAAGGGGAAAAATTTCAACTTCCCTAACGTACGAAATGTGAATAGGATTGATACAATCTCTTCATTGAAGATGGCGAGAAGTGTCAATTCAACTCACAGAACGATTCACCAAGGATAGGCAGATCCAAATGAACAGAAACTATCCATGCTACAGGTCGATCACTCTGCAGACCTCAGGAAAATTCACAATTTATTTAAATTAACTGATAATAAAACATAAAAAATATATTTTGATGTACACAATTCAAGGTAAGAATATATAAAAAATAAATATAAATGAAAAGATAATAAAGTAAATTGTTTGTTTGACAAAAAAAATTATATTGAAGCATATTGAATATTTTCAGGCGAGACAAACTGCATGATCATCTCATCATTTTTGGGTCATTATGAATTTTTGTTGTACATAATTGCAAACAAATGTTTATGTAGACGTTACACGTACCGTAGTTAATTTGTTCGCTTTTGGTTTATTGTAGGTTCGTCGATCCAGGTTGAATTTTGATTTTTGTACGACAAAACGTAGACGTCCTGCTTATCCGACACGACAACAAATACATTTAAGACCATTCTCATGTCAGGACTCTTCTCAAATGAGAGGGGGATTTCAAGGTCCTTCAGAAATGTAAGTTATATAACAATTCTCTTGATTCTGATCGGAGTATCGAATATTTTTCACGTATATAGAAAAACACTTTTCAATACGATTTTTCCCAGAAGATAAATATTTCATTGTTAAAAAATAAAAATGTAAAAAACTTAAATATTTTATTCAGCGCACAATTTCTAGAAATTGGAAAAGTTCGGAGGAGGAAAGTTTAGATTTCATGTTTTCGTGATAGATTTTATTTTTATTTCCCCATTTTTCCGTGTTGTCGGAAGATTTTCCATATTCAAATAATTCTCACGTCGGAACTTTGTTATAATCTTCCCAATATTTCATGCACTCGCTTACTACAAATTTATCTTCTCGTAGGAAGATTCATTTAATTTCAACTACTCTCTTACATTTTGATAATTTTGTTTTAGAGGAGAGGAGTTCCAAAATGTATCACACGCCTACAAAAAGAGTGACACAATTTAAAAAAAATCATAAAAATCGGATTATTTAGTTTTTTTGAAGTATTGGTTAGTGTGATGCTGCAGAAAAAATGACACAACTTTAGGTGGATTCTTTGCTTCACTTCAATTGGCGGGAAAGTACTGTCTTTCACGAAAAGTGGCATATCTTAGTTCTGTGTCGGGCTTTAAAGCAGCGGTGTAAGTGTTTATCAGGAAAAGTGGAAAATTTCGAGTTACGTCAGTTTTTTCTTGTTGTAAAGTATGCTGTACCGGAGTCAAATTTTCACATTATGAAAAACTCACTAGTTTTCGTGGTCCGCTTGACCAATTAATATCTTTCAATTAATTAAGGTTTTTAGTTGAGATAAAAAAGTCAGTGTCACGAGCGGGATTCGAACTCACGACCCTCCGCTAGATCCGCCGCTACTCTACCACTTGAACTATCGAGATTTCGACCCACTCAGACACTAACTTCCCATCTTTAAAGGTGTGTGGATCGAAATCACGATAGCTCAAGTGGTAGAGTAGCGGCGTATTGAGGCAAAGGTCTTGGGTTCGAATCCCGCTCGTGACACTATCTTTTTCATTTCGACCAAAACCTTACATAAAAAGATTAATTAATTGAAATAAGTAATTTGGTCAATAGACCACTAAATATAATGGATTATGAAAAACAATTGTTAAATAAATTCTACAAATGAATCGGTGAGTGTAACAAGGTTGAGAATCCAATTTTCCAGTTTTGAGAAAACTTATTTTCTTCCTGAAAAATAGTTTTAGTCAAAATATTTTTATTTTACGTTCATTCTAAATCTTGGAGGAAATTATGTAACTTGTTGAAAAAAAATGTCCATGGCATCTATAGCTATATTAAAAAACATCTGTTGGAATTTTATCTCTCTTCCATTAATTGAGAAAAAAGCAAAATATTCATGTAATAAGACATTTATTTGCTTTTTCTTCACCATAGCTTGATCTAGAGTGTTCGTGAATTATTTTAGTTTCATTTCTTTTATTTTAATAACATTCTAATTTATCTTATGATTTTTCCTTCTTGAAGGTGGGATAATAGGTCATCTCAAAAAACCACAACCAGTTTTTATCCCCAACGTTTCGGATTTATTTTAATCCTTCCTCAGGTGAGTTAAAGCCTGTACACAGAACAAATATTTTTTTTACATTTTTATATCAACATGGTTATCATTGTTTCTTCACTACTTACACTGTGTACAGGCGTTAACTCACCTGAGGAAGGAGTGACATAAATCCGAGACGTTGTGGATAAAAACTGAATGTGGTTTTTTGAGATGACTTATTATCCCACCTTCAAGAAGGAAAAATCATAATATTAACTGTTGAGGTCGAAATATAAGATAAACATCGTTATTCTAATTTATAATATTGTTTTTTCATAATTTTTTTAACAATGATGTTTTTTATCTTTTACATTATTTTATGTTTTAATTACATTATCTTTAATACTAGTAAGTAGTAAAGAGATCAGGGATGCGGTCATCAAAAAAAAGTAAATTTTGTAACTTATGCCAATCTTTCAATCTTTATTGAGGTCTTCCTCAGGGCTCCACATGTAGTAACGTTTATAATAATGATTATTTGGAGAACGTGAGATGCCATAACTAATTAGCCCTGATTCCAGGAGGAGAGCACATTTGGATAAAAAATAGTCTTAGCAAAACTTACTACTTCGATATTTAAGCTCGTTTGTTAGCTTTGTATGTTTGTTATAATCATAAAAAAATTAATATCCTTACGGTCATTCATTGACCACCATTACCATCAGAGCAGACAAACTTAAATTACTGAGAGCCAATATATGCAAGAAAAGTGTCACAACTCAAAAAGCGGTTGTTTTTAAGGGTAGTACAGCCGGATTTTTAAAGTTTTGTGCTTTCGTTTAAATCTTGGAAAAACGAAAGACTTGGAATTGATAGAATTAATCCTGACAGTTTTTATTGCAGACAGCCGTAGACGGCCTCTACTTAATATATAAGTGAAAAAAAGTAAACTTCCATTTGTCTTTCGTATAAAATTATCTTTGTTGAGTTGTGTCACTTTTCTCGTGAAAGCGTGATTTCTCATAATCATTTGGAGATCGTGAGGTGCGGTCTGGTGTGACGTAGGTTTTAGAAAAACATTTTCTTTTCATGTCAACGTTTCGATCTTTATTGAGATCATCTTCAGGGCTCAATAAAGATCGAAACGTTGCCACTATAAAGAAAATATTTTTCTAAAACCTACGTCACACCATATCGCACCTCACGCTCTCCAAATAATCATTGGCTAAAGCGGCCCATAAACGATCAATATTATTGCACAATATTTTGGGTTGTGCAATTTAATTGATCGTGTGTAGACGATATTGAAAGTTTGTGCAATACATTGCATGATTGACGAAAAGTTCAAAATATACTGTACAACCTGGAAAATATTGCACCGTCTGTTGGCATTATTGTGCAATATCAATCAGTTTGTAAAGTATCAAAATATTGCACAAATTTCAATATCGCCTTCAAGTTTTAAAAGTTCATTGCACAAACAAAATTTTGTACAATATTATTGAACGTTAAGGGGCAACCGTCAAATTATTGTGCAATCTATATTGTACAATAATATTGACGTTTAACTACACATTTTTCATAGTGTTATTAAATTAGAGATTCATAGAACTTTTTTCCGGGGGATTTATTAACGAGGGGAATTTATTACGATTTTAATAATACAGATTTGGACGGATCGACTTGTTTTAATCAAGTTTTTTAGGGTACTTTGCAAATAATATTCAATTCATTATCATCGGTAACCATTTATTAACTGATTAATCTTCAAAAAGTGTAATTTAGAATTTTATTATATTAAAAACTTGAATATCAGGGGTTGGGGCAAGGATTATACGGATGATTTAATATTCAGCAGAACGCCTTAGAGCAAGGGAGGGTTGAATGATAAACTACTAAATAGATGATGATGAATATGGATAATAGGAAGTCAAGGTTTTTTTTGTTCCCCTAGCAGTGCAGTCTTCTGGTTTATAGGATTTTCCTCATTTCTTAGTTCAATGTAGTCAAATCGGTCCTTCTTGTAAAACGTGGTTATTGATTGTCTTTGCTACAATTCATTTGTCTGGGTATCGAAACAGGGTGTCCGTTTTAGATGGCCCGGCTGAATTTCTCTTGAACCAGTAACGCTATAAAAAAAATTTTAAAAATATTTTCTTTCTTGTGCCAACGTTTCGATCTTTATTGAGATCATCTTCAGGGCCTGGGATTTATAAATATTGTTTGAATTTTACAAATACATGTAGGATGTGGAAAAAAATTATGAATTTATACAATGCTAGAAAATTTTAGATAAAAAAATGAATTTATACAATACTAGAAAATTATAGATTCAAGAAAAAATGAATTTATGCAATGCTAGAAAATTTTAGACAAAAAAATGAATTTATACAATGCTAGAAAATTATCGATTCAAGAAAAAATGAATTTATACAATGCTAGAAAATTTTAGATTAAAAAAATGAATTTATACAATGCTAGAAAATTATAGATTCAAGAAAAAATGAATTTATACAACGCTAGAAAATGCTGGATTAAAAAAATGAATTTATACAATACTAGAAAATTATAGATTCAAGAAAAAATGAATTTACACAATGCTAGAAAATTTTAGATTCAATCAAAGTATTTGTACTCTAAAATTGTCTAGCATTGTAAAAATTCATTTTTTTTAATATATTCTGCAATGTAAAAAAGTTTTCTTACAGAAAATTTAATGTTCCTTCAGGTGGCACATACCAAAATTTTCTACAGTCAGTAATTCTGAAGTTTGTAAGCAATTTAGTGGACCTAAGTCGAAAAAAAACAAAACCAAAACCTGAATTTATGTACTTCTTTACAGTTGAGATTTGGACTGGGGTTTATAGGAAATATATATTGTTTGTTTTTTAAGTTTTGTAAGTCCTAGTGTATTGGGTTATGGAAGAGCTTAAGAGGAGAGCAAATTACAGTTTTGTCTAGTATTTTTTTAAGTCTTTTTTTCACTTAAAATTTAAGGTTGTTGGAGACAGTTATTTGAAAATGTTTTCTTGGGTAATTTTAGTATTGCAGGGAAATTAGCCATTTGTTGGAAATAACATATTTACCGGATGCGAGAGCATAGATAGAATTGTGACTAAGAACGTCCAGTTGTTTTCTGCGATATGCCGGTGGTAATCCGCCTGTATTAACATAAACGCCATTTACCGGACTTGAAGACGGCTTGCTAATCTTATGCCTGCATGACGTCATGTTTAGCATAACAAGATAGTTTTGAGAAGCTCAGCCGAAACATTGCTGCCGTAATCTAATTTTGAACGGTGTCCTTATATGGCCTAAGCATGCTTAGGATTAAAATACCCAGTCAGCACCCCACGATGTTCTAAGAACATTTCCGGATTTATTGCACCAGTCTTTCAACGCTTTTAAATGAGATGACCAG